CTCCGCGTTTGCCGCTCTGCTGTCATGGATGGACTTGAGGGAAGGGAAGTCATGAATCCACTTCTTTCTACACCCCTTCATGCAGCACCTGCGTCTCAGCAGTTCCCCTTTTACAGTCCATAAAATCAGGATAGTTTAAGTGGGTTAACATCAGGGCCGTTGGCTCTATTATTTCCAATATTTTCCCCTTTTAATCCTTCTTAAACTATGGCAGAATTTGCCTCGAAAACCTCAGACAGATTTTTTGGGGCCGACTACATGTGTAATTCTCCACAATCTACACCAACACCTTCTACACATTCTGTAGGAGCCTACGTTACGTGCATCCCGCAGCCTAACCCCTAAACCCTAAATCCCAAACCCGAAACCCGAAACCCCAAACCCTAAGCCAAGATCCTTTCATGATCTGAAGTAGGAGCTGCTTGCAGCTCGAAAGCGTGCAAAGAAGGCTGGGATTAGGGCTTAGGGTTTAGGGCTTAGGGTCTAGGGCTTAGGGATTAGGGTTTAGGGGTTACAGTCCCCCTTAAGTGTGGGGCTCTTATTATAGTGCCAAAACTTTTTGGACAACCCCGGAACCCCTGCCATGCTTTTGAAGGTTTTGGGTTTAGGATTCAGGTTCCAAGGTGTTGGGGTTTGGGATTTAGGGCTTAGGGCCTCAGGTTCCAGGGTTTTGGATTCAGGGTTTAGGATTTACAGTTTCGTTGGCTTTTTATAGATTCGTCACAGGGGGCTTTCTACAGACTTAGGCTAGACTTTGGTGGCCTGGTCGAACCTTTAAGTCACTACTGGTCCTTAAAGGGGAGTGGATCGCTATGATAATCCTTCTGTAATCCCCATATACATCCCTGTAGTGGTGCCTATATTGACTCAGGGATCCGTTCTTGTTTAGGTCATTCTGCACTTGCATAACATGGGGCGCCCAAGAACTGGGAGTCACTTTTTGGAGGTTCCTATACTTTGATCTACGTAGGCATTATGAAAGCTGCCCCCATGGAGGCAATGGCAGAGGCCACCGATCCTCTCACCAAGTCGGTGCTCAATGGCCGACAGCCAGCAGCCCAGAACATGCAAAGGGTTGGGTGTTCAAGGCCTATGATTTCAGGACTTTTTGAAATAGTGTGCCGCTTGGGGATTACGTGGGGGTTCTCGAAAATGTTGGTTTTCCAAAGTTATGGGCACGTCTTCGGTATCCGCAGAAAAGGGATGCTAGGCTCGTGATATCCTACAGTCGCCCTGAAGTTTCAGAAATGCTCTTGTACGGCAATTACAGACTTAGTTACAAGGGATCCGACAGGAAGTCTGTGACGATGTTCGGTGTTTAGTGTTGCTTGTTCAGGGTTTGGGAATCCCCTCCCCTCAATAGACAGCAACACCCCCCTAATAATAGATAACCCCCCCAAAACACTTCCATTGTAGGGCATTGGGGTTGTCATGTTTAGTGGTTGAAGCTGGAGACATGGGGATCCCATAGATTCTGCGATCCCCGGCGTTTCGCTCCCAACACCTTGCCACCCAAACGGTATACTCCAGGCGCCTGAATAGTTACCAACATTCTGGTCCCAAGTTCTTTGTATAACTGCAGGAAATGGTCCGTTAAATAGACCTCAAAATGGCATTGGTCAATTTTTTGGCCCCCCCGGAGTACGTACCTTGAGAAGCATAAGCCTTGTTCGCGGCAGGCTGGCGCTGAAGATCTCCGCCAACTCTGTGTACGGCTTCACAGGCAGATTGGGAAACAGAGTTTAGGGTAGGGTGTAGGACCCCTCCATGTCTGTAGTCTAAACTCCTCAGATGTGGGTTCTATAGGGGACTATGTAGGGTTCTTGTTATAGGCTCCGACGGGCCATAAACGCGCAAAAAATGCGTTCTCCCCCAAGCCCTTCGGGACTGGCCTGCGTGGCACGAACAG